CTTGAGTTTTCATTTGAGGAACTTCTCTAGGCATTATCACGGAGATGTTTCCGTCTCTTGGGCTTGATTGTGCTGCCAACTAATTGCACCGAGTCTTTCGGATGCCAAATGATCCTCCAATGCTACGGGCTCGGCCGACGCTTTGGCAGGTGAGTAATCAGCAGAACTAATACCGCACGCATGGCTGTTGAAACGTCCGTGTCGACGGCAAAAGGATCATGCCGCCGTGAACTGAACACTGCGTTGAGAGATCTCCCCACATAGAATTGCAAGCGCGTGTGGTATCATAGAGCCACTTGCGTAGGCGAGGCTTCGGAGAACAAAGTAAGCTGGCACGGTTTCCGATTCGAAGGGGAAGGCTGTCGTACAGCCGTCCTAGTGGCTCAATACGCCTACCGTCAAAGTCTCCACATTCCCCATAAACGTGGGCAAATTTGCGTCTTTCGGTGGAACTAGCCTACGCCACGGGCCGGGGAGTGTAGCAGATATGCATACACGTCCGAGAAAGGTGTAACGCGGTAAATCATGGGATCTGGTGGGATGGATTCCAGATCCGAGATCAGTATCTCAACCATGGAGTGGAGTACCAGATCCTACAGGAGTGTTTGCCCCTGGTGTTGCAGAATCCGTCCCGGCCTTCTTCTTCTTTTTCTTTTTGCGTGGTATCAATGCGGGCGGGTTCATGACAGCACTGCGCAGCGATAGATAGGAGCCGCACGTCAGGCACAGGTTATCAGGAAGATCCGGGTTGCAGAAGACTGATGGAGGTTAGCACTGTGTTGAGTGGGATGGCATGTTCGATTTGGCTTACTGCTTAAGCACACACTGCAGACAAAACCGATGTCAACAACCCTCCTATGGCAGAAACACGCCGCACGGAAATCGACACCGCCGGCGCTAGGGACTATGAGGCTTGTCCGCGCTGTTACATCTGGTAAGAATGCCATCATCAGATATTGTAGCAGGCCCTCTGGGCGATCCGGCTTCATGTATACACCTCCAGTCGCATCGCTTGCTTGCTGCAGTAGCACAGTGTCGCCAGCCAATTTCAAGATATCTATAGGTATTCGCTTTCTTTGTGCGGCAAAGATGGAGTTCATGACGGGTATGTACTGGTTGGCAAGGTCGCCGGATACGGATACGATGAGGATGCGAGATGTGAGGGGCACGCGGTCGACGTGCGTGTTTTCCGAGTCGGCGAGTGCGGCGAGAGATGTGCTCTCAGCGGAGGCGGCCGTAGGAGCATGCAGGATCGTCTGCTTATTGATGTGGGTAAGGGCCATTGAGAGGGCACCGCCGATGAGCGTGGTTGGTGTTGCTTCCAGATGGCTCTCCTTCGTCTCGTTGAGTAGTTTGGCAAAGTTGCGTAGGATAGCACTTTCTACAACTGCGAATGGCCGGTACTTGTTCGCACTCTCTGCCATGTGGCCTTCCTTGTCCTTTCCATGTCCATTCGTTTGCGCATGCCCATTTATCTCCCCGCCCCGTACTTGAGGCTGCGGCTCTGCAGGAGTCGGATAGAGAAATGTCGTCTTGTGCGAATGTGACGCTATCACGGCAACTTCATTGGCGTTTCCCGAGGCCAAGTGCGCGTTGATGAAGACGAGGATGTTGGCTAAGGCGGCCGAGAGTGAGAGGGTCGAGGATAGATGCGCCCACGCATGCGGGTTGGTATCGAGCACGATCGCAAGCAATGACGGCGGCGGAGCTGCGAAGTATTAGTCATGTCCGTATTAGCTGAGGTATTCCAGCAGCATGCCTTCGTCTGTCTTGACGTGACGGTCGGAACCGTCGATGGTATTCATTGCGCTGGAACGTCCTTCTCTGCGCAGATTCGAGATGACAACTTCCTATTCAAGGATGGTACATGGTTCAGAGAAGCGAACAAGCCCTGCTCAAAAGGTCCAACTTGTTGGTGTAGAGGGTCTAGCCGTTGCTGAATTCAGTTGATGAGGTCAACTCGGAAGTTCGCGACCGCCTAACATTATGCGCCCGTGCGCTACCCGCGTCAGCACGTGAGAGCGTTACACCTGGGCAGGCAAGACCTCCTACTTGTTTAGGTAACTATTGAGCAACACTACTTGACCTGAAGGCAGCCTGTAGAGATCTCTGTCCAAGAAAACGATCATCGAGCTTGTTCTGTAGAACGGGTCTTGTTATTGGCTACATGTCAGCCAGCGGCGCAGCCATAGACTTGTGGCTTACAAGACCCATATATTGTTCAGCCTCATTGCATACATAAACGACGTGACTTCCCGCCTTGCCTGAAATCTATACATGTGTTGTATTTGCCAAATTACAATATTGACAGCGAACGTCTCTCATCCATGACTCGAGAGCGCTGCTACCCAACCTTGAGAGGATCAAGAGGTATTAATTCGCTGACCTATCGGCTATGCAGTCTTGCAGAAAGAGACGGAACCGAGTTTCAGCTTGTGCGGAGGTCTGGTCATGAACATGTGAATCTTTCAGAGACAGGACGAATCGCGGAATACCAAGGTCGCCGATATGTCTGTCGTTACATGACGTGCCGTCTCGCAAAGCTAACGCGTTCATGCCAATCTACCGAGGCTCAGGAGATAGTTTCGCCCCACGCGATGCACTATGGAGGACGAACATCCCGTCTATTGGCAAGACGATTCTCCATCGAGGGACTGCTGTCATGTCAACTTCATCTTCACATGCGATCGACTCTCCGAGGTCTTCACCAGCTCGACCATCGAATAAGGCGCCCGGCTAAAGTTTAATCTCGACGAAGCTGTCGTAGGACTCATAATCACGGCTCGTACGCTGCGTTGAAGCTCAAAGCGAACCTTGGAACGTCTGCGTATACAGCCTCTCAGCAACCCGACTGCTTGCGAACCTTGGAAGATGATCACCGAATCAATAAGACGGGTCGATGGTTATGAGAAGGATGCCTACACATATTACCCCGTCATCATTGTCGGTGCAGGCGCATCTGGCATTGCCATGGCCTGCCAGCTGAAGCAGCAACTTGGATTTGATCAGTTTCGCGTATTCGATCGGCAAGCAGGTATTGGAGGAACCTGGTGGATCAATCGGTACCCCGGTGTCGCTTGGTAAGTCCGCGATCTCCCCGAAGACATGCAGGTGGTTACAACCAGGGTCTCTGTATTCAGCCGCCACCGTGCCACAAACACGAGACTAACAGCCACACAGCGATATACCCGCCGTCTTCTACTCCTTCAGCTTCGCCCAAAACCCCAGTTGGTCCTCGTTCCACCCGCCCGGCAAAGAAATCGTACGCTACTACCACGAAGTATGCGAGAAATACCGCATCACGGACAAATTCGAGCTCAACACGGATATTGAAAGCTGCAAATGGCTAGAAGACGAGCAGCTATGGCAGGTCACTCTCCGTCGCATGGTTTCAGGCATGGGTGACTTGTCGGCAAAGGATCGCATGAAGATCGCGCAAGAAAAAGGCGAGCATGCCGTATACTCGGAGACGGAAGTTGTGAAAGCCAAGGTTGTGCTTAGCTGTGTGGGAGGACTGGTCGAACCCAGGAGCTGGCCTGACGAAATCAAGGGCATCGAGAACTTCAAGGGCAAGATGTTCCATTCGGCGAGGTGGGATGAAAGCGTCGACTTCACAGACAAGAACGTCGTCGTTGTCGGCACTGGATGTAGCAGCGCGCAACTCGTTCCTCCTCTACCCCACGCGCCTTACAACGCTACAAAGGTCACTCAGTTGATGAGATCACCACCGTGGGTCACTCCAGCTGTTCACGCGCCTGGTGGTGATGAGTGGTGGGAGAAGAACGGCCCTAAGCTGATGAAGAACGTACCGGGCCTCAAAGAGCTGTTGCGTTTCATCATCTTCGCCACAGCAGAATCAGGCTTCCTCAAGATCTTCCCCAACACACCATACGCTAACAAACAGCGGAAACTCTACGAAGAGAAGGTCCTCCAGAACATGCGCAAGCGCACTCCAGAAAAGTACTGGGAGATTCTAACACCAGACTACGGCGTGGGTTGCAAACGACGCATCTTCGACAAGCGATGGCTCCGCAGCCTGAATGATCCAAAGATCGAGCTGACTACCCAGCCGATGAACAGGGTCACAGAGCATGGCGTTGTCATCGGCCCCGGCGCGACATATCCAAAGGACGCGAAAGAAGAAGATTACCCCGAGCGAGAAATCCCCGCCGATGTCATCATCCTCGCCAACGGCTTCGACACAACGCGCTGGCTCCACCCCCTCAAAGTCATCGGCAAAGGCGGAAAAGACCTAGTCCAAGTAATGGAAGAACGAGGAGGCGCTCAAGCCTACCAAGGCACAGCCGTCGACGGCTTCCCCAACTTCATGATGATCTTTGGACCCAACACTGCAACCGGTCATTCCAGCGTCGTCATGGCAAGCGAGAGTACGTCTAAGCCCTCTCCACTAACGCTCACCGTTATTCATACCAAAAGCGTTACTAACACAAACCCCAGACATGGTCAACTACTCCCTAAACTTCATCCGCCTCCTCCTCCACAACGAAGCCCGCACAATCGACGTCAAGCACTCCGCCGAAGTCGCCTACACAGCCGAAATGCAACGCGCCCTCAAAAATACTGTCTGGCAGAGCGGCTGCTCAAGCTGGTATTTCACCGGCGACGGCTGGAACTCGACTGTGTATCCTTATACCCAGATTGAATTTTGGCGGAGGTGTACGTTTGTCAAGTGGAATGACTGGAATATAGAGTACACGCGTAAGGGAATTGCGAGGATGAGGGCGAGGAGGCTGGTTAGGGCGTTGGCGGTTGTGTTGGCTGTTGGGGGTGCGTGGAGGTTTTGGCGGAGTGGATTGGGGGTTAGGGATGTTGGGGCGCTGGTGAGAGGGGTTTTGGAGGGGGCTGTTAGGACTGTGAGGGAGGGGGGGAATATGGTTATGAAGGCTGCTCTGGCTTGATGTGGTGGCATGTTTTCTACTCCTAATAGTATCACATCCCTAGCGACAGCCAGAAAGAAAGAGAAGGCCATTGATCCAGCCTCAATACCCGGCGTTTTCATTGTCCTGTCTACAAACATCTTCAAGTTCCATGGCGCGCGCAACTCGACCACTGAATGCCTCAATAAACAAGAGCTTTTCTTCAGCGCAGGGCCAGTCATAATGGTACACAACCCCAGCCCACACCCAGAACCCTGTTGGGCAGACGATGTGAATCTCCTCCATGTTAACAAACTCCATGAGTTCCTCTGCTCCATCCGGGTCATCTCGCTCAAACTTAAGGCGCTTGACGGCTGAAGCGATGAAACTGTAATCGCTGAACGCAGACCTCCCGATGTCCAGCATATCGATATCGAGATCCAGCCAAACATAGCGCTGCTCCGTCTTGGGGCAGCCTGCCTTCTCGGGCTCTTCTTCTCCCTGCTCATCTGGCGTGAAAAATTCCTCAATGAGGACTTCAGGCGCGTGGTTGTTTTCGAATTTCTTTACCACGTCAACTTCAAAGTGGACACGCTTGTACAATCCAAGGTTTCGCGCTTCCCGGCAGGACTGTAGTGTGGCTGGTATGGGCGTAGACGAGACCAGTTGGCCATACCTACCTAGGTAGGGTTGAGACCACTTATCTCGAACGCGCCGCACGTCGACTGTGCGTGGTTCAACAGTGTCCTTCCAAATTTGCTCTCGCAGCTCTAGAGGAAGCAGCGGGAAGGGATGGAAAGTGGTCATGATGTAGGATGGAGACGTACAAGACTTGAGCGCAGCCCGCGCGAAAGTTTCCACTACTCAGAATTAGGCAACCGCGGCATTACGGGACTAGCACTCATGGCTCAGCTGCCTCCGATACCACTGAACGCATGACCGTTTTTTAAACATATCAAACACTTTCAAAGACACCTGGTGTAGGATAGCAACTGAGTATGCTAGCGCTCCTGCTAATAGATCCGTGGATGGTTTGGAAAGAGACAATAATATTGCCCGTCTGCTGTTAGTAGGTAAGCTAGACTATTGCACATACATATACATCGATCCAGGAACACCAGCGAAACTGCTTTTGTACAATTACCATTGTATGCCGCATCATCCCGACCCCACAAACGTCATTTAGATATCCCATATCCGGACCTCCCTCCGGATCAAAGAATCCTGGGGTCTAGCTCCAAGCCTTCGCGAATAGACTCCATCCGACGCGCCATTTTAGTCTACCCCATCCGATTACCACGACTAGTCAGCGGTAAATTCTGGACCGGACTAGGCTCCGCTGGTCTTTTCGATGTGGTGGTGTGCCATTTTGCATTAGACATGCATATCAAACGGTATGTGTGTGCCGAGCTAGTCAGAGTACAAGCATCGTGATTCACAGTCACCTGCATGGCCAGAAAAGCTTGAAATAAGAGATCATGTGTGTAGTTCAATTCATAACGTCATGCAGGATAACATGTTCCAGGAGCCAACGTCTTTCCTGATCGTTGACCTCCGTGTTTCCCTAATCCAACCCAATCCAATTCCCTTGGTCATTATCTGATAGAAAGATGTACGCAGAAGCAGAGGACAAGGAAATGGATATCTTCGCAGAGAACAATGCCACAGATCCAATGAAATCCCGTGATAAAAGTTTTCCGTTCCGTGAATGAAAATCGTGACATCATACTCGATGGTCGAGATGGGCGTCTTATGCCTCAGCGGTAAGATCGTTACCAGTGTTCAGCCAGTCTACGTCTCCCAATCCACCTGAGATGCCCATGTTGGCGTCAAGAGCTGAGTCGTCGAAGTTGAACGCCTCGCCGACTGCATCCAAGTTGAGCAGCTGATCGAAATCGCCGTCATCGAACTCATTGTTTAATGGCAGGCTGGAGAATAACATCTCGTCGTCCTGGTGGTGGTTGATGTTGTTGGTAAATGGATTTGCAGGAAGGTCCATCGTACTCCACTTGTTGAAAGCCATCGAGTTCAGGTTATCGTGTGTGTGCGAGTCCGACGCAGAAGCCGTGATACCGTCCATGTGTGACTCGTCGGCAATAGTGATACTGGGCATATGCTCGTGATCGGACTCTGGTGGCGTAGATGCGAGGAATGTTTCGAGACGCCGAGCGACTTCCTCATCGGTGACATTAGGCTGGTCGTGCTGCTTCTCGAGAGCGTGCATGTTCGTGGTACCGTTGTCCGGCGGCGGTGTCAATGTTGAAGGACGTAGGTTCTGTGTTCCTGTAGTCGCGTTGTTGATCATCTCCATTCGCCTTCCAGCGTCTACAAGATCTTCGACTGTAGTGACGGGCGAAGGCTTGGGCATTGGCGCAGCTGGAGCGGCTCCTACAGGAGCCACATGGATACCTGCCTTGCGGATAGCGGCTTCCAGGAAGGCCACTGAGTAGTCGGCGGCAGCGTAGAGATCCCGCAGTTTGCCCATGACGGCCATGCACTGGCAGAAGCCACGTAGAGAAGTTCGACGAGTCTCCTCTTCTGGGGCCTTGATGTCAAGTAGGTGGATGATGATTGCTGGTAGCAGAACCGTGACACCTGTGGTCGGTAGGTACTTGACGAGACCACCCACGTCTAGACGCTGAGCTATCGATGTGATTGCTGAAGCAGCCCGGCGGACATTACGGCGCGAGACATCGAGCAATTCAGACTCAACATTCTCCTTTGTCGGAGCGCTGGCTGGGCCGCCTTGTGAATTTGGTAGAACCTGCGGCCGATGCAACGCTGACAACGTGGTGAAGAAGACCATGTGCAGTAGTGACCTTGCAAGATCGATGGCTGCTTCGCCGCTGGGTGTGTCCGTGTACTTGGCTTCTTCTGGAAGCTCTGATACCCATTTTTGGAGCTCTTCATCGCAGGCCTTGACCTCACTAGTTTCGGGATCTAGTTTCTTCGGTAGCAGCATCATGGTTGTACGGTCATTTTGTAGGCCGTGGTTGTTGTTCAATACGCAGTATTGCTTAGAAAGCACATGGGATATGCACAGACACAGCCTAGCCTTCTCAATGCACATGATAGCTAGTTGTCGCTGCGCATCCACATCCCTCGCAATACGGCAGTCAGCTGGCAGGCAAGTGATCGAATCCGGAAGAGGTGCAATCTCAAAGTCATCCAACGTCAGCATGGGCACGTCGAAGTCCTCGGTCTTTATCCTTGTAGGGCGTCGCATGCCAAGTGCAATAAGTCGGTCGCGCATGTAGGTTGACCACCATATCCGCTTCCACAACTTCACGCGCTTGCTGTCCAGGTTGGTGTTGTCCGGATTGCGATGTAATCCGATGGTGTGAGCAACCGATGTAGCGACGCCCATCCAGTGCCAGGTGTCTTTCTGGTCATCGGGAGTTTCGTAATAATACGTCAGCAACAACAGTGCTTGGACTAGTGAAACGCGATCGGACTCATAATCGAAGTCGTACAAGATCTGGTGGCAGAGTTAGCACGGTGTTCACATGTTATCGGCCCATTGTAGGTCCGTCGATTTTCACATGTCGGCATGTCCTCGGAAAATCGGGGTGTCCGAATCACCCCGATAGTGTTTGGGTCTAGTCGGCCGAAGCCCATGACTTGCCAAGACATCCGAAGAAGGGTCTCAACTTACTCTAGTCTTCTGGAAGAAGTCTTTGCGCGCGTCTTTCCGAGTAGCGTAGCCCGCTGTGCGCAAGTGTTCCATATCAACAAACGCCGATCCGGCGAACATGACGGCCTGGAACAGGATCAAGCTAACTTTTCCTTTGCTTCCGTCTCGTTTGTCAACCATCGACAGGAAATCATGCAGATCCAGAAGTGGCATATAGGGATGGACAAATTCGACGTATGCGCGAAGCATTTCACCGCGGAGATTTCCCTTTGGTACGGTCAAGGCACCCTTCTTCTCCAGATAGGCGATCTCGTCAGGTCCGATTTTCGCCGGGAGAGGTTTGATGAATCGGGGTAGCTCTCCAGGGGCGGGTTTCTGTGGTATGCTTCCAAAGAAGGGTGCTCGTGGTTCATTGGAAAACGGCGAAAATGGCAGTGTAGGCAAGCCATTGATTTGTGACGTGATGGAAAGTCGGCGCTGTATATCTGAGATGCTGGCGACGGAGTTGATACGATGGCCATGACTTTGGTCTGTGTTGCGATTAGCCCAGTACGACTGATGCCATGATGCAGTAATCATACATATCGAGTGAGGCACATGCTCATCTCGCCTTGATTCCGCCTCATGTGATCCTCGCGACGAGCTTCGGTTCAAGGTTTGCGCACCGTCCAGCGCGTCACGCGATGCGATCTTGCGCGTCGCAGGTGCAGTTGTGCTTGCGTTTTCTGTGGCTTGGTCGTCATCTTTGCTCCATTTCCTGCAGCTGTCAGTAGTCGTACGAGGCGCACATTTGGTGTGGGTGCATCAACAGCCATTGGCTGGAATGCTTTCGGTGATTGTGATAGGTGCAGCGCAGCACAAGTGGCTAGGCCAGAAATACCGAGCTCGCAGCCGACGTTGGATGACGAAATCGATGGAACATGCCATATCGAAATTGTTGATCAAACGATAAAGCGTTTTGTTTGTGGAGACGTCGGATATTGCACGGGAATGTGGAACTAACTTTTTGCGCCTGCTCTCCGACACAATGCACTCGACTTCGTCCAGTCTGCAGTTTGTGCAAGGAGCGCCGTGCTCTGTGACATTGCATCGCACTTTTCGAGCTCGACAACATTGACACGCTTTCGAAGCCCTCCTCTTTACTGAACGTCCTGTTCCATGTCCATCGAGGCCGGCCGCGGTGGCTTTTCGTTTCGGTGCTTGGATTTCGTTGTGATGGTCGGACGGAGATGCAGAGTAATCAGACATGGCTGCAAGATGTAGATGTCTGGAGTCTGCGTTGAAGGCACGATGGGTTGCAAGTAGCGTTGAGAATTCCTACCACACGCGAGGGGTCTGGGGGTGCCCGAAGATTATAAAGACCACAATTCGCGAGAGTGGATTGCATGCCAGGGCTAGTCGTGTGCTAGGACACACAGACAAGCCGCGCTTCACATGGTGCGTTTTAACGCTCATGACGCCGCCTCCGTCCCCACTGGGGATCGTTAGTTAGTACCCCAGTCCCCCAGATGCGGCTGGTCGGCGCTTTATCCTTGGCGACTAAGACGCCGATGCCTTTCGGATGTCATCGGGACAAAGCCCGCTCCTGGATACAAACGCGTTTTGGCAACGTCAGCTGCTAAGCCAGTCCTTGTGCACGGGTAAGATGCCGCGGTTCTTGCATTCGCTCAAGCCGACGATGGCCTGTACGACGGGCAGCCTGTGAATGCCAAGAGCACACTCCCTCCGACTACTACGGACGCATGGCACGCGAGTACCGGGCGTCTTTGACACCCAAGCTCGAGTCATGATTGTTGTGGGGTGCACGGCACTTTTCGATTCACGACGCGTCCCACAAACGCAAGAACAAGCCAGGCGTAGGATCATCGCTGTAGAGTGCGGAAATGAATATCCCAGGGACAGCGCGATTGGTGTCTATGAGCGGAATGCCATGACCAAGCCAGACAGCTCTGGATCCTATAGCCGAAGTGCTAGCCGTCTCGGGTGCACGTGAGGACACATAGGCGTCCAAGTATGTTTGCGGCTTTTTGCCAATCGTACGGACAGGTCCATTGCCCCGACGCACTGCCCCAGTACACCCCAATAAAATCTGCATCGTGAACCTTAGTGGGCACGGTGCTTGCCGTCTTTTTTTGATCTGCTGAGAGCTGGCTGACCGCTCTGACAACAAACA